GGCACCATTAGTGCAGTACTTTGGGGTAGTACTCTAGGCCCCAATCAGCGAAATGAGTAGGAAGGCCTGCAAGTACAGCAGGGCTGGCTTTCCGTATTCTGAAGAGAAACACTACACATTATCGTCTAAAGGAGCTCACCTTCATCCCATGGCATCTACAGGAGTTGGTCTTGCAAGGCCATTAAAATCCAAGCAGGCTGGCCCTGCTATAGGGCAGAGTGAAGCAGTCACCTCAGGCAGCAGGTGGTGGTGGTGCAGTGAGCAGTGGCAAAGGAATATTGTGTGTGTGTGTGTGTGTGTGTGTGTGTGCACGCGCACCTGGGGACCTTTCATGAACCCCTTAGCTAGCTTGCTGTCCTCAGGTTCAGTGGAAGATCCTGCCCCAATAGCAGTGCTGAAGTAAAATTCAGCTGCAAATCTTATTAGTTTCTGTAAAATGCCTGGGAGGGGCAACACGTCCCTTGCTTTGGAAAGGAAATTGACTTAGGCTAAGCCTAAGTGCCTCACTAGAGGCTGCTGTGGTTCCCTCATAATGTCTAGAAGTAGATATTAGATGGACCTTGAGAGAGATCATAGGAATTTTACCTAATGCAAAACAAAAACAAAGTGAACTTAGAAGTTTCCCCTCAGGTGAAATGAAGAGAGTTTAAATATGACTAATGCAGTTCCTCATGATGACAGTTCTACCAAAACAAAATAAAAAATGCTATTGGATTTTGCCTCAAAACAAATTGTGCATCTAAATAATGTAGATGGCATCTAAAATAGTTTGAATAACACTAATGGAATTAGTCGGGGGTGGACTGGCTTTATAAGCTTCCTAGATGGTAGACCTCCTGGAAAACCTGCTGTAAAGTCCACAAGGGAAGAGCAGTGAAGAAGAATAAATGAATAATACATTTTGATCCCTTAGATCTTCAGTGGAGGCATTTCTTCTGTGCCAGCACCACTCAAGGCTACCTTGGCAACCATAACGGCAAGTCCTTCTTTGTGGTGATGCCATAAATATGAAAAGCTCTCTTTCGCTTGATCCACTTAATCCAGTTAGGGGAAACTTTAGGAAAGCTCCTGTACCTGTTAGTGATCATTTGGCAGGTGCAGTTATGAAACAAGCACAAAAACTAGGGCAGCACCACTGACCAGCAAAAAATAAAAGGAAAAAGGAACCCCAGTTGTTAGAAATACAGTTTATTCTTGGCCCAACATGAAAACTTAACAGTGCATTCTATATCTAATTTTTTGTATTGGGTTTTATAAACAAGAATAATGTTAAACAAATAAGTATACCAAGTTTTCTCATGTCATATGTATATCACAAAAATAGCATAATAAATGTGGAAAAATATCTGCAACATATGTTTCATTATTAGTGGTCAATGTATAACTTCTTGGTTCATGAATTGGTTTAAACAATTAGGAAGAAGGGAAAAAAGAAAAGGGGGGAGGGAATGGTGAATAGAGTGGGGTGGGGTGGTTATGCTTCTATTATTCTACTTAGTGGGGGGGTTTGTGTCAGTGCTATTCACTTGTATTTCCTTGGTGGTGAGAGAGGTTGGGGGTGGCTTAGGGGGTGGTTGGATGGCTGCAGTGAGAATTGTTTTTGTATGTGAGTGGAGTGTGAGTGTGTATTTTTTAATCAGGTTAGCCAGATTGATTTGTATGCTGTCGTGCAATTCCTGTTGTCTTGTTGGGCTGTGTATGTCATAAAGGGGAACCAAATTAGGGTGAAGGCATCTTCTTCTATTTGTCCCCGTGTCAGTTTCAGTTTATTGGTTAGTTTTTCTAATAAGGCTGTTTCCCATACTCTTTGATACCATTGGTCCATACTTACTCCTGAGTGTCTGGCTATGATATTTCTGGCTGCTGAGAGTAGGTGGGTTCTTAAGAGTGTATTCTAATGACAGTTCTCAAGTCCAAGATATACTGCAGCAACTCCTGCACAATTGTGAACCCTAGTTTGGTTTAGCAAATAGATGACGCTGGGACATAAGAATGGATGGGTGGCTACTAATATGTTTATACCAATTAGTATAAACACTGACAACTGGGAAACACTGACCTGCGAGTGCTCCAGTTGGAGAACAGCCTTTACCAAAGGTGTCATGGGCTTTGAAGACACTCAAACTCAGGATGCAAGGGAGAAACATGCTAAGAGGAAGCCACGCTTGGCAAATCCACACCGTGATCAACTCCTGCCCGGAAACCAATGTCCCCACTGTGGAAGGACGTGTGGATCCAGAATTGGCCTCCACAGTCACCTACAGACTCATTGTTAAAACCGTGTTTATGGAAGACAATCTTACTCGGCTACGAGTGATTGCCAAAGAAAGAAGACTAATTTGTTCCCATCTCTCTTTCCTTTCCCCTCCTTTCTTACATGCAATCAATGGTTCTTCTGCCTATTTCATTTCTACTCTTTTAAAAAAATGTCCTGCTCATGTCAAAGATCCTTTGGTCAATCTCGAGTTTATTTAATCTTCTGCTTTGTTCCTAAAGGCTCATTTGAAAGACTTGGCCAAGCATTAAAAAAAAAAAAAGAGTAACAGCTTTACTGTAAAATTTTATGGGGAATTTGGGCAGGAATGTCAGAGCAGGAAGTCACTTTGCAGAGATAAAATGAACTACAATGTAATGATTCAAATTACTCCACCTCCACCTCACCAGATGAAACCAATAGCCCAGAGCTACTGGGATGCCCAATCAATAGGTCAGAATTTTTACCGTATAAGTTTTGTTATCACCCATAAATGTAATTCAGTAAAGTAATATCTGGAAGACAGACGTTGGTATGAGAGGATAGGGCCTGGCCCAGTCTGTAGGAAGTGACAGTGGTTGACTCAAATCTGAGCGCCCAAAGTTCAATTACCTTGATCCAGCTAGGCGTATCTATTTAGAAGCTTTCTCTCTCCCTCTCTCTCTCCCCTCCCCATGTGATTCCCTGCTGGGACCCTGCCCAGATAATCTTAGTAAGATGCTCAACAACCACACTGATCAGCTGTTCATGAGATGGACAGATATCTGAGAATACATGTCTACTTTGGGCGTGATCTAGCTAAAACACTGTTGTTCTGCTAAAAGAAAAAAGGAAATCTTGCAAGCCAGAAGTATGCCCACCCTTGCTGTAAAACTCTATTCTGAAAATCATCAAGCCTTAGAATTCAGCACCTGTCACATATCTGAAGGTTATCTACTCCAGCCTTTGTTTGCATTCAGTCATTCCCCTAAGGTTGCCATTCAAAGCATTGCAGAGAGGCAAGGCAAATTTCGATCCATTTCCTTCAGAGCACAATGAAGCATTTAAAAAGAAAAAGGAAAAAAGTGTTGACTATCTGGAGACTGAATCAAAGTCAAGCAAAAGTGGCAGGACAGTTTGGAGAATGGGAGGAGGGTACAAGTTTAAAGAGAAAGTACCTGAGCCCATAACATAAGCTTCAAGGGAAGAGAAGGAACTATGCTCAAAAGCTCTTCCCATTTCAAGCCATAAAGGACAATGACTTTGCATATAGGAACATAGGAAGCTGCCTTATATTGAGTCAGATGATTGGTCCGTCTAGCCCAGTATTTTCCACACTGACTGACAGCAGGCTTTCAGGCAGGAGTCTCTCCCTGTCTTACCTGGAGATGATGGGGACTGAGCCTAGGACTTCTGCACACAAACCTTCTGTCACTGAGCTCCGCCCTCCCCTTTTAAGGTATATCTTGCATAAACCAAAGCAAGCACCCACAAAAGTGTGGCAATTGAGAGCATCTCCCACTCCCCCAATACAAAAGCAGGAACAACTAAAGACAGGGATGAACTCCCATAAGCCCCAGCTAGCAAGGCCAGCAGTCAGAGATGATGGGAGTTGTAATCTACCAAAGTCCACATGTTTCCCATCCCTGCTTTGAGAGCAGCCAGAACAGGGGTTTTTTTTTTAATAGCAATAGCTATCACAAGGAGCAATTGGGTTCTGCTACAGAGAAATTCCGTCAGTTACTAAGTTGATCTTAATATTTCAGAGATTACTTTTTTTCTCTTTGTCTGTATGCTGCAGTTTCTTTCCCTTGAACATATTCTACAGTCTCCTTTCCTGGATCTCACCTTGGGGAACATACACGCACAAACACCACCAATTATGGCAAAGGTTAAGAGGCTCTTGGAGGACACGGTCTTCAAGGAAGGCCTCTCTAGCCAATTATTTCTACTCTGGAGGATAAAGGTCTTTTACTCAAAATCCTAGAACTATCATTTTTTGTTCCGCTTTCACACCGATGATTGAAATAGCTGCAATAACTTCATAACTCAGTCTTATGGGCAGCACTGCTGGGGGAATCCCTGTAGCATGAATCCTATGAAAGCGCTGCCTTTCCCCCCCACCCCCGCCCCACCCCCACTGGCAGTTCATCCGACATTTCCTCAGGGATGTGTTATCATCAATCTATCAGATGCCACACAGAAAAGCATTTGGGGGTGGGAAGGGGAGCAAGGAAGACCTGTAATCATAACTTAAGGAAGGACCTTATGGGAAGTATTATGTCGCTCAATGGTAGATTGAGCTTCACACACAGACTCCATGCATTCTTTTTGGTTCGTGGGGTTCAATTCCCAGCATCCCCAGGCAGGGCTGGGAAAAGCTCCCTGCCTGCGACCCTGGAGAGCCGCTGCCAGTCAGAGTAGGCAGTACAGAGCTAGGTCTGACTCAGTACAAAGCAGCTTCCTACATATCACAGAAGCAGCAAATGGTGCAGGTATTGCAATAATTATACTGCTGCCCTCTGCTGGAAAGGGCCCAAGTCAGGATGGGTAAAGTGATGAAAACCAGAGAAATAATAAGAGGCAATTGATCTCTGAATCCTGGCTATTGCAATATGGCATTTTGGCCCTCCAAATGTTGTGGGGAGTCCACCTCCCATCAACACCAAATCAGCATTGACAGGGAATTCCTTTATTCATACAATTATAGAGTTGGAAGGGACCACAAGGGTCATCCAGTCCAACTCCCTGCAATGCAGGAATCTTTTGCCCAAAACGGGACTTGAACCCACGACCCTGAGACTAAGTCTCATGCTCTACCAAGGGAGACCATCCACATCTGGAAGGCCACATATGAAGAGCCCCTGCTGGATCAGGCCGGAGGCCCAGCCAGCCCAACATTCTGTTTCTGGCAGCGGCCAGTTACCCACGGAAAGCTTGCAAAGAGGACTTGAGTGCAAGAGCTTGCTCCTCGTTCCCGCGCATTGGAAAAACCCGTTCACACGGGCAGTTTTAACCTTTTGCCTGCCTGCCTTCCTCCCGCGTCGATTAAGCCTCTTTCGCTCTGCGGAGCCCAAGGCCGGCGAGTGCAAAGGAAGCGCCACCCCACTCCCCAATTAACCTCCGCCGCGAATGCGCTCCCCGGGCGCACTGCAACACACACACACACACACACACACACAAACTGCAGCGAGACAGCCTCAGCATAACAAACAGCGCACTGTGTGTCACCCGGGTCCTCCAAAGCTGCTGGCTCCTCGCCGGACCGGCTGGGCTGTGCCAGCCGCGGAGAGATCCGTTCAACCGGGTTGTGTGGAGAGGAAGAGAAAATAGGGGGGAAAGTTGGCACAGCCGATCCTTCGGGTCAGAGGCGGAGCCCGGGGAGCCCATCATCCCTCTGGCGGGTCAGCTTGGGAAGATGGCCAGGCACACACCCCTCGCACACACACACACACACACACACACACACACAGACTTTAGTTCCTCCCCTCACAGAGCTATAATTCCCAGCACCCCTAGCAAACTACAGTTCCAAAAAATCTTTGGGTTGGGGAGCTGGACGCGCTCTAGACGCCTGGTGCGTGTCTGTCCAGCCCAGGCTGGGAAGGGGAAAGTCCCCAGAGGACGACAAACTCTCAGCTCCATAAAATTAGCAGGTCGTTAAGAAGAGGACACTTGGGGCGCGGAGGACTCGGGGGACCTGGCGAGGCTCCGCTTCCCGCTCTTGTGTGCGCGCCCGGGGCGCGGGCGGAGAAGGGAAGCGGGTCCTTTCTCGCCGACCCTCCCCTCTCTCGATTCTGCGAAAGAAACGACGGACGGACTGGAACCGATTACCAAACCGGATAGCGGGATCGATCGATCGGATATAACCCTAGCGGGTGGGTGGGTGAGAGAGGAAGAGTAAACGCCTCCCGGAGGAATGAGAAAGAGGCAAACTCTGCTTGAGGAATCCCTGTCCCTCAGCACGTCTGTTTTGGAAGGGAGTCCCCCGATCCCCGCCAGAGTTTTCCCCGGGCTCCTCGACTCGCGCCCGGCCAGAAAGTATTCCTCAGGCGCCGGGGTCGCCCTCGGGAGCCCCTTCTCCTCTCCGGGTCGCGTTCCAGGTCCTTACCTGCGTGGCTCATCTTCCGGAGTCTCCGCCAAAGCGCTCGACTGGCTGCGTCCCTCTTGGCCGCCTCCCCGGCTTCAAATCATGTTCTCCGCCTGGCAGGCGCTCAGGGTGGCTCCCTAAGCCGGAGCCCCCGGGCTGCTAAAGTTCAGGTCGGGGCATGGAGGGACTGGGGAAAGGGGGCGGGGAGGAGATCTCTCCAGCCAAGTTGCAAGCGACGGGAGGGGATGCGAGGAGAGAAAGAGACGCGAGTTGCAACAGCAGAAATCTCTCTCCCTCTGTCTCCAAAAGTGTCCGGACGGAGCCTCTTGGACAGGGATTGGGTGTGCGGGGGATCAGTGCCTCGGGGAGCCGTGGTGGCCCTGCCCCATCGCCGCTCTCAGCTCGCTGCAAGTGGAAGGTCCTCGGTCGCTGCGCGCCGTGTGATGCCCAGGGCTGCTGCTGCTGCTCTTGCTGGTCTCCCCCTGCTGTTGCTGCTACTCCGGCCGGCAGGCATTTCCCTTCCTTCCCTGCAGAGGAAGCCCTTTTGCTCACGCAGAGATTGAAAGGCAGCAAAGAAACAGAGGCGGCGGCGGGCGGGAGGGAGAAGAGCGCGGGTGCCAAAACAAGCGGAGATTTAAAGAGACCGCGGAGATTAAAAAAAACACACCAAAACCCACGAGGAGAGGGAGAGAATAGGAGGAAACGCCGCCGCCGTCCCACTGCTAAACAGACGCTGGGCAGGTTCAAAGCAAGCGGAGAGGAATTGTGCGCGTTCCCAGTCCGGGCGACTGTCTCGGGTTGTTCCGCGGAACTCCCCGCGACAGGATTGTCGATTACTATCGCTAAGGAAGCAATATTTGGGAGGAGGGAACTAGGGGTGGTTATTGGCTTCTGGCAGCAACTCCGATTAGACAAGACGTTCGTGTTCATCTGATAAATAACCCTGTGTGTGAATATGTAGGTGTATAGGCACACTAATATATTTTTATCTTCTTATTCTCCGCCCCCTCTAAAAAAATCCTGAGGAGCGATCTGTGATGTCACCCCCTGCGCGCACACACATTTTCACATACACTCGTACATACACTCGTACTGACCAGTTTTAGCACATAGTACTGGCGGAAGAATATTTTTGCAGGATAATCCCCAAAAGTCGCGGCCGTGAAATCCCCAAGCCCACTCAGGAACGTTGCGGCTCGCCTTTGCGATCCTAGAAGCGCGCTGCACTGCGATCCTCAAACGTCCTGTTCTAGATGCGCCTCGTTCCGCCACCGTGGCTTGTAGGCTCCTCAACCGCGGTCCCGAAGCCAACTAAGCTGCTCTCATCGAGTCGCTGAGTGACTCCTAGGAGCCGCATTCCATCCAGTTCTTCGATTTCCTCACCCAAAGACGCGCAATCCCGTGTGAACGCGTTTGCTCATTTTCTTTTTATAGACGCGCTCCTTTAAAACAAGCTGCCTGCATTGATCCCGATCCTGTCCTCGTCAACACCGAAAGTCACCAGGCTCAAGCCTAACACGCCTACTCTGAAGTAAACCCTACTGATTTCACTTACTCCCGTAAGGTCTCCCATAAGGTCAGTTCCTTATTTCAGCCTTATTTCAGCGAGATATTGCCTCCTGGGGCAATATGTACAGGATTACAGCCTTAAGCGCCTCTAGGATCGCAGCCTACAACCGAAGTGTAAAAAGCCGAAGGGACGCGACAGTTGCCTGAATTGTCGCCCAACCGCATCCCTTAATAGTAGGAGGCGCAGGCCCAGGGACATAAGCCGGAGGTGCTTTTGCGCTGGTGGAAGTGGGAAGGGCAAGGACAGCCGCCCTCTACGCGGGAGGAGAGCATCTCTGTTGGGAAAAGGAGGGGAGACAGCGGGATTTACCTGGAAGCCGATCTCTCCTGCCACAGCTCCCGGGGCGGGATGAGGAGAGGAGAAGGACTGGAAACAAGAGCGCAAAGTGAAGCGGCTCTCTTGGAGAGGAGCTGTTCCTTGCGCACCATCAGCCCCGGGAACGGCGAGCGAAGCGTTTTAAAGCGCGCTTTGGGGCCGTCGCCACCCCCACCCGTTTCGCGCTCTCCTGTTCTTTCCGAGGATGACATAATTTCCTCCTCCTCCCATCACCATCCAGCCTCATTGACAAATCCCGACTGTCAATCTGGCTCCTGCCCATTTCACAGAAATTTTGGAGAAAATTTGCCGGAGGCTAAGGGCGCTTCCAGACTGGGCTGTTGGCTTGCTGAACACTCATAGAATCAGAACTGTCGAGTTGGAAGGGACCCGACGGGTCAGCTAGTCTACCCTCCTACAGTTCAGGAATCACAGCTAAATCACATTCACTCTGATTTGTTTGCGGAGAGGCTAGACGGCTTAAATGTTCAATGAGCATTAGCTGTGATTTCTTTGCCCCATCTCCACCATAAAGTAGTAGCACAGCACAGTCATGGCTTCCCCCCAAGAATCCAGGGAACTGTAGTTTGCAAACGGTGCTGAGAGTTGTTAGGAGCCCCCCCCTTCCCCTCTCTCACAGAGGAGATACAATTGCCAGAGCTGTTTAAGAATCAATCCCTCTTGCTAGGAAACTTTGGGAACTGTGGTTTTCTGAGAGGAACAGGAACCTGGAACTTCTGAAGTGTGGAGAAGCAGTAATTTGAGAGAGGCAGCAACCACACAAAGCACAAATACATCCCATCAAGCATCACCTGCTAGTGTGGACAGGAAATGCCATGTAGATTTTAATGGAAAGTGCTCATGTGTGGACAAAAGTGCACACAGAAAAATAACTCAAAAGAAATAATTTATATGCCACCCATCTGGCTGGGTTGCCCCAGCCATCCTGGGCAGTTCCCAACACACAAAACACAAAAAACCTCAAACATTTTAAACCTCCCTGTACAGGGCTGCCTTCAGATGTCTTCTAAAGGTTATACGGTTACTCATCTCCATAACATCTGATGGGAGGGTGTTCCACAGGATGGGTGCCACCACCGAGAAGGCTCTCTGCCTGGTTCCCTGTAACTTCACTTCTTGCAGTGAGGGAACCGCCAGAAGGCCTCAGAGTTGGACCTAAGGGTTTGGGCTGAATGCTGGGAATGGAGATGCTCCTTCAGGTATTCATGGCCAAAGCTGTTTAGGGCTTTAAAGGTCAGCTCCATCACTTGATGTGCGAGTGTACTGGGAGCATACACATCCTCTCAGTGAGAGGCCAATAGTGGGCAGGGCACCATTATTGATCAGCTGTTCACTCATGGGGGCAAACCACTAATGTCCAGTCTCAGTTCCCCATCTTAAAATGGGATTAATCATGCCCAATAGTGAAGGTAAACAGAACAGGAACCCTAAGGAACCAATCGCAATACACTTTGAGGGAATGACTGCTATTGGGAGTCACCAATTTGATTGTTGTCTTTGTCCATGGAGTTTTCTTGGCAGGGATACAGGAGTGGCTTGCCGGTTCCTGCTCCAAGTGGATCACGTTTGGTCAAAACTCTTCACTATGACCTGTCCATCTTGGGAGCCCTGCATGGCATAGCTCCCATGAGTTTGACCAAACTGTGGGAGGCAGTGGAGGACATGCGTGCTCTGGTCCATGGGGTCACAAAGAGTCGGACACGACTAAACAACAAACAACAATTTGATTGTGGGAAACGGCTTAAGACCACTTGCTATGCATTAGATTACAGAAGTATGGAAGTTTCTTTGAGTGTTTTCTAGTTATAATGATTTGGAATTCCCCATTCATTCCCTTCTGTTCTTTTCCTCAATTTGCATGCATGCTTAACAAAATCCCAAGGAGGAGGAATTTCATTTGTCTAAGGATTGCTCATGCGAATAAGGACCTTTCTATGCAACTGGTTCTAGCACAATAAGTGCTCATTTCTTGGGTACAGTCTATGTGGTTTCCTAAAGGATATGCTTCTGTTAGCACATCCTTTTTTAAAAAATAAAATGTGATCACTAGATGGAATGTGGTTGTGGGAGGCTAACAGGAACCTATGGAATACCATTTCCAAGGCAATTAGTGATCAAGTACTTCTCCCCAACCCCTGTCCCTGCACCATTGTTGAAATGAAACTTTTATTTAAAAATACTTTTATATATTCTTTTTTCTTTTTCTTTTTGCAGGCTGTTTTCCATTTTCCTAGCCCCAAGTGACAGATTTCCTGTTTGCCTATTCAGATTTTGGTCAGTGTCATTTGCATTGCTGTTTCTCAGCGGTGCCAGTCGCTTCCTTCAGTTAGACTCTATATAAGCATTTTTCATCCATTTGTATTTTGCTCACAGCAACCCTGTATTATGGTTTCTATAGTCTTAAGGCTGCGTAAACAGCTACTTGTTGTGCATGCACGAGTCATCTGTGAGTACGAAGACATTTTAATACAAAAATATTGAAATGCTATGAAAATGCTGATGTAGCGAGAACACACCATGCACGTACATGTCAGCAGACGCATTAAAAATGGTAGGTGTCAGAAAAACTGCCAGAATGTGTGGATCAGGATCCTAAAGTGATGAAACTTTGACTTGCATTCCTTTTTTCAATGCCAATGTCTATTGGGTTTGTGAATTATATTTGTAGTTTTAAAATTTGCTTTTCACCTTGGGTGCCTTTGGCTACCAGTGGCTTCCTTTTAAAAGGTGTGGGGGTTGAAAAGGACAACTTCCCACCCTTGAGTAAGAACAGCAGGAAGTAGAAGAAGGTTGTGCCTGTCAATCTAGAAAGGGAAATTTATTATAAGGATCAATGAGTCATTTGGGAGCATCTGATGCTAAGCAGAAAAGCAACTAGGAAACTCCATAAGAGTAGGATACAAGTAGAAAGAGATGCTCTCTTTAGACCTAATTCTAACAGAATGGGCATGGCATGGCTGCAACTTCCCAAGGGCTTTGGCTCATACTGTACCTCTCATAGGAAGAACTATGCACATTCAGAAAACAGAAGTCCTAATACTGATCGTGGGGGGACTCCCAACTTTTAAACTTGCTCATAAATGATCTAGGTGTGGGCACTGAGGTATCCTAGTTTGCAGATGATACCAAATTGTTCAATGTGTTTAATAATAATAATAATAATTTATTTATACCCCACCCATCTGGCTGGGTTTCCCCAGCCACTCTGGGCGGCTTCCAACAAAATACAAACAAAAATCCTTTAAAACAAAGGATTGTGAAGAGTTCCTAAAGGATATCGTCAATTCAGTGGGAGCAAGTGTAAAGTGACACATATTGAGGCCCAAGAAAAATCACATACGTGATCATTTTTGTTGGGAAAATGAGTTGAATTTTTGCAAATGTCCAAGTGGAGACTTTTTTTGGGCAGGCCTTCACCTCAAAGGAACTGATCAAAGCACCATCATTTTCCCACAGAGATGATTAGACTGGTGATCCCAGGCCCATTCCTAATGACGAAACACACTTTAACAGCATCACTGGAGTGCCCACGACCAGTTCCCTCCTCCCCTTCACCAAGGTATGTAAATGGATCCTCGAGAGACGTAAAGGGGGCAGGAAGCAGTGGTTGGCGATTGCAGATTCAAAGCAAGCCTGCTGTCCTAAGATCTGTCCACAAGCCTTCAAACATGGTTGCTCTTCCTTCTAACTCAACAGCCATAAACCTAAATATGTTAACTTAGAACTATGTCTGATTAATGTCAACGAGGCTTACACACCAGTAAAAACCAGTGTGGTGCAGTGACCAGAGTGTTGGACTAGGTCTTGGGAGACACAAGCTCTAAATCTACTCCTAACCTTGAAGTTCACTGGGGGACTTTGGGCTGGGCACAATCTCTCAGCCATACCTACCTTACAGGGTTGTGAGGGAAGATGAGCTGCAACTATAACAAAATAAGTGTGCTTTGGAACTCGGCCTAAATTTCCAGAGCAGGCTGGGATGAAACCACTTTGGAAAATGAAATATTATTTTTTTCTTACCTAACTTTCAGAAATGGAGCTTTGGATAGCTTGAGAGGTGGTGCTATTTCATTTGTTTCATGAAGGCAGAATCAAGTGAGGGCGCTCGCATGGTGCTAGGTGTGTGTCTTCTGTAACAGAAACGCTTAAAAGAGCCCATTCTGCTGACAAACAGCCCTACAGCAGGTGGTTTGGCCCAGGAGTTAGTTGGCTCTCGACTCGCTTTATTGAGGTGCTGAATATGCTGGAGGAGGGTTTGCTTTCCTTGATCACAATTCCACCGACAACAACTGAGTTTACACAGAGCTGTTAGAGGTTCAAAGAAGTCCTGTAAATATTTTATGTGCCTGGAGATTATTTGTGTTTGGCAGATTACGCGCAAGGTGATAAGAATCGCTAATAAGGAGAAAATTCTTCGGCAAGGTGAAAACGTACTGCAGCCCTGCTTCTCTCGGCAATATTTCATGTTTATTTCATTCTAAAATACGGAAAAAGCATGCTTGTCGCCAGCCCATTTACAGCGCAGGGGCAAAAAAAGAAAGACCATATAAAACTATTCATTGTGCTGCTTTCATTATAATCCTGATTAACAGCGTTTTATGGAGAGATGGGAAAACCAGGGAGATGAAGGCAAAAACATAGAGCTGGGACCCAGATAATTGAACTCCATATGTTATATTTTTAAAGCTCACAGATGGAAACCACCAAAGCCTATTTAACAATGAGGGTTTTTATTCTGTGGTTCTTTGTGGCACCTGACTGCAGGTCTTCCTGTTGCCATTACCTGATAATAATCTCTCTCTCTCTCTCTCTCTCTCTCTCTCTCTCTCTCTCTCTCATTTCTCATACTGATATTCTTAATGCAAAAACCTTCATCAACTAGAATGTGCTTTTGACTGTAGCCCTGCTCAGGTGTTCACCTGTACGTGGATGGTCTTAAGCCAGAGGTTGAGATGGGGGAATGCATGCAAGTCCTAGCCCCTATGTCTCCAGGCACACAGCTCCTCTGTAGACCTCCATGTGTTTAGTGTGAAAGTCTGCATGGTGTATGTTTTACTGTGGACTCAGCTATACAGCTGCAAATAAAAATAAATTAAGTACAATATATAAATGTGACACTAGATGGAAATGGTGAGCTATGGCAAATTCGATATATTTTTTCAAAACGGTTTTTTAAATAGCATTTTCACAG